ATCTATCTATCTATCTATCTATCTATCTATCTATCTATCTATCTATCTATCTATCTATCTATCTATCTATCTATCATCTTCATCTATTTGTCATCTACTTGTCATCTATCTATCATATATCTGTATGTCTATCTAGCATCATCTATTGGCACCAATTGCACAGTGGCAGATAGGAGAGCACTCCACAGAGTTAACCTTATTGTCCAGAAGATCATAGGTTGCCTGCCTGCCTGCCTGTCTGCCTGCCTGCCTGCCTGCCTACCTACCTACCTACCTACCTACCTACCTACCGACTTCAACATCATCATTCATCATCAATCTCTATTTAAAGGGAAAGTATTATTGCTGCTTGTCCAGAGCTGACATAGTTATGGAAGAAATTAAGCATTTGATTCCTTTCCCCATCTCTGTCATGAAGCATTACTTAGTAATATCTTTCTTTACCCTCCCTATCATACCAGATGGATGGATAGAAGTGTTTTATAACTCTCCCGAAAACGTCTCTCTCCTGGCCATAGTGGGCGAGGTGAAGAAGACAACTTTGTAATGAATTCAGGCTCCTCTGAAGAAACCTTCATCAATAAGATTTTCTATGATCCTCATAACTGTGGAATAATCTTTGATGGTGTTAGCTCCTGCTGACATATAGTAGGTGAAATATAACCCAAATAACAGAATACTCAACTCTCAGTCCCTGTGAGAATATTCAGTGAGCGGGAATACTGTAACCCAAAGCAACTGAAAAGAACTGGTGAGCTTCTACTGCTGCACTATAGAGAGTATTTTAACGTACTGCGCCTCTGTATGGTTTGCCAATTGCACAATGTCAGGTAGGATAGTGCTCCAGAGGGTCAATGTCATTGTCCAGAGGATCATAGGTTGCCCTCTCCCCTCCTTGGAAGAGCTTTATAGCTCCCGCTACCTTAAGAAAGTTCAAAACATCCTTAAAGATCCATCTCATCCTGGGCACCTTTTTTTTTGAACTATTACCATCTGGCAAACGGTACAGGATAACAAAAACAAGGAAAAATATAGGCTGAAAAACAGCTTCTATCCCACAGCAATAATTATATTGAATACTACTGTACAGTGCAATATTAGTGCAGTATCAGGTTTTCAATTTCAACTATATAGCATGTGAAGGATGTGTCTTTGTGTTTTTATTTTTATAGTTATAATGTACACTGAGGATGGCATTTAATTTTGTTGTGTGATGTGCAGTGACAATAAACTAAACTAAACTAAAAAAAATGCTACGGAAGACAGTTTGCTTAATGCTTTCTCAAAGAAATATGAAAAAGACCCATTAAAATAAATAGATTTTTTAATTATTTCTTTTGGGAATGAGTAGAAATGTCCTCAATCAAGTGTTCTTGAGCAACAACGTTCAGGAGATATTTTTTTAAATCACATACCATGTCATTTCTAAGGCTCAGAGAATAAAGCTTAGCATTATTCAAATCTTTCAAAAACACGATTTCCATGAACTTTTGCTGTTGACTTATTCCATTAAAACATTTTTTCAAATGGAACCATCTGAATTCCCTCTCCTTTTTTTCAGGATAACATAACCAACATAAATTAAATGTTCTTGCTTACCGGTGGTTGAGTCCATGACTCTAGACTTGTCTCTTTTAATGGGGTCTGAGGCCTTCCCACATCTTTTGAATGCTTTGGGGACAAAAGAGAGAAACAGGAAAAAAAAATCTGCTGTTAGTTGCTTGAGAGACTAACACACCCAGATTTGATTTACAATTGTGGGGGGGAAACAGAGTTAATTTGTGTAGTCCTAAGCATTATAGGGCTGTGAGCCTCAGAGAAAAGTAAGATTATTTTAATGACTGCAGTAGAAAAATTCAGGAAAGAGTTTCTTTAGTGCTTGCCCATGCCCTATTTTTTTTTCTTGTTCAACAGAAAATGCTCCAACTGCAAGATAGGAAACCTTTTTGGCCTTCCTTAAAATCTAATTAAGGACCTGCTCATTCTGGATATCTGGATTTGGCTCTGGATTTTTTCTAAACGCAAGGACATTGCTTCCAAGGACGTAAGCCAAGGCATCAAATTATTTTGTTTAAAATGGGGGGGGGGAGAAGTGATTGCTTCAGGGACTCCCATAAACAGTAGAATCAACACAAAATATGTCATGAAATGCTTTGAGGCATAATGTCTGGATACAGTATATGTTGATATACACACAGATGGATAGATACATGTAGCTGCAAAACACACTGGAGCTGACTGCAGAACAAGAGAGAAAGTTAATTTCAGTGGTGAGATTCAAATAATTTAACAACCAGTTCTCCATCCTAATGACCAGCTGGGTAGTTGGGACTCAATGGTGATGTGACCATGTGGGCGTGGCCAACTCAACATCACTCACGTTGATGGGCGCTTCACCTTAGCTGTTACAATGTTTTAAGGGTTAACCAAAGAGGTAGTTTCTATAAGCAGGGCAATAAAGATCAGGCTAGAAACAACACCAGAATGTTTCCTGCCTTCCTGTCTTCCTTACAGGATTAGCCATGTAGAGTGGAAAAAACAACAAAAGGAGATTTCTTCCAACAACCGGTTCTCCCAACTGCTTAGAAAGTTAACAACCGGTTCTCCCGAATAGGTGCGAACCGGCTGAATCCCACCATTGGTTAATTCCCATTTAGTTTGTGGACTGTCTCCGGATTGATCAGTCATCAATAAAAAACCCAAAATACTTGGGTGATGAAGATACGGTAATGGTTCCCGCAGGCATCTTTATATACAGAATCACAGTGATTGTGGTGTGGAAGTTGTTTTATGATGTGCCCTGGTGGGGGTGAAAAAGAAAAGAAGAGAAAGTGCCCTTAATAAAGAGCAACAGTGTTTGGGAAATGAAGTGGAACTTAATAGCTGATTGACCTTCCACCTTACAGAATCCCGAATCCATTGCTGCTCCCTGTTTAGAAATAAATACATGAAGAATATGAAAACACGCCGCCACACCAACATGAATTGATGTGTGGAAACCATTTCTCTTGCTGAGGCAGGCTGTTCCTCTCCCCAGTGAAATTAGATCTAATTTTCCAGCCACCTTGCAAAAATAAAATAAAAAACCTGCTAATGTACATAATGATTGTTCAATTCCACCTATAAATGTCCTGGATTTGATGAGCCCAGGGACCAAGGTGCCACCGAAGCCTCCAGAGTGCCTTCACTAAAGGCTCGTGTCGGAATATTGCCGGTCCTCACCCAGACACAGTGCATTTAATGAATGGCAAAGACTATGCTGTTTCCTCTCCTTTCCCACACCAGAATGTTACTGTAGCTTCCAGCTCTTTTTAAAGAGCTTTAGACGGTAGAATCATAGATTTGGAAACCAGCAAATGTTTCCTTGACTTTCTGAAGGACGATTCTCCTTTGGAGAACAAAACTTTAATTCTCTTCTAAAGGTACATAGAGGTACTACTTACTTACACTGCAAAGATTTGAACAAAATCTACTGGAAAATCAATGAAACCAAAGGAACGATGTGTCTTTTCTGCGTTATTATTACTCTTTCACACACCTGCAGATTCTCCACCACGAAGAACTGTTGGCTTCTGATCTCCCCAAAACTGGGGACCCACTGTTCCATTGTTTATGTTCCCAGCCATCTGACATTTAAGCTTAACACACAGAAGAAAATTAAATCCATAATGAGATGAAGATGCTATGATTGATTTTGATCTGAATGGTACATTATCGCTCCAACAGCATGCTTACAGCTCCCAATGCTCCAATCCTGGGACCAATAAAATTTTTCGCTGGCAGTGAAGCATAGATGTTAGCAGGAATCAAGCTCTCATAATAGCATGCTTAACTAAATCTCAAGTAACTTTTTAAAACTATAGCACTTTGAAATAACCTACAAGGGTAACCAGTAGACAGATTGAGCGTGAATGCTTGGAGAGCACAGTAGGAATAAGGTTCCATAAGAGCATTCCCAGAAATGGTTTCCTTCGACATTCACACAGCAAAAGGGTCATTATATTCATAATGAAAGATAATGGCATTCCATCTCCTTTTAAGTGCTAATTTGACCAATTGGGGCAAGGGAAGACTAGGTTGAATTTCACTCACCACATTTAATAGACAAGTTTGAGTCTGACCTAAAATGTGGTGAAAAGTAAGAGACCTTTTTTTCCCCACAAAAAGCAGAGGATGTGGTAACAGGATTCACTGAATCACAATTTAGCTAACCGCATTTTTAGCCTACATGTTACAACAAACCAGATCATGTTGATCGTTTATGCTTCTATATAGCAATAGCACTTAGACTTATATACCGCTTCACAGTGCTTTACAGCCCTCTCTAAGCGGTTTTACAGAGTCATCCTTTGCCCCCCAACAATCTGGCTCCTCATTTTATAGACTTTGGAAGGATGGAAGGCTGAGTAAATCTTGAGCCGGTCAGACTTGAACTCCTGGCAGTCAGCAGAATTAGCCTACATTCTAACCATTGCACAACCAGGGCTCTTATATAGCAATAGCACTTAGACTTATATACTACTTCACAGTGTTTTACAGCCCTCTTTAAACAGATTACAGAGTCAGCCTCTTGCCCCCAACAATCTGGGTCCCCATTTTACCCACCTTGAAAGGTTGGAAGGCTGAGTTAACCTTGAGCCTGGTGAGATTCGAACTGCCAAACTGATGGCAGCTGGCAGTCAGCAGAAGTAACCCGCAGTACTACATTTTAACCATTGCACCACCATATGTCATGCAAATAAATGAATAACTATCAGGTGGCTGCGCAGCAGTGCTGGAGATTCATTGGAACCTGCTGATTAGTCCATTATAGCAATTTCACACGATTAACGCAGCAAATCTTTTAGCATTATCACTTTGCTGCATTTTAGTATCTCATGACCGTAGGCCTTCACAGTTTAAGGATTGGTGTTATATTATAGTTTTAGGCCATGTTGTGTTTCGGTTTATGTGAAACTGAGATTGGACTGACAGATTATGATTTTAACATTAGATTTCATTTGTTATTTATTACTTTATTCTAGAATCTTTAACTCGATAACCCTTCAGTGTTTTTAACTTGTTCGGGTTTTGGACTGTAATAAATATTGACTTGATCTGACTATGGTTTAGCTACGGGGGGTCAGTAAGTGGATTCCACACAGTTATTTTATGTAGAAGTGAAGATATAATAGAAACTAAACAAGGCAAGAAAAGGAAAATTTAGATTTAAGACACGGTCTCCTTCATACTTCAGGAACCCGGAAATGAACAAGTTGTGTTGTGGGTCTATAATATTTGTTACAGAGTGAAAAGATAAACAAATAAAGAATATAGAAGAAAGGAAAGGAAGGAAGGAAGGAAGGAAGGAAGGAAGGAAGGAAGGAAGGAAGGAAGGAAGGAAGGAAGAAGGCAGGGGGGAAGGAGAGAGGGAGGAAGGAAGGGGGGAAGATGTTTTGAAAACAGTATAAAATGAAGGGGGAAAAGATATTTGAAATCTTGTAAGCATACTTGGTGCTTGGTAGTACAAAATGAACTAACATAGTCCCTTCACTGTCTTTTTTAATTGGTAAATTCAGAAATCACTAGTTTTTTTTAAAAAAAATCTGTTTTCAGTGGAAACTGGGAAATGTCTTCTCTACTCAAAGATTGGAGAATATTCTGTAACATTACATTTTGTTCTCATTTTTGTTTACCAACTAAAAGGCAGCTCTAGAGAATAATAGCTATATACTGAAACCAGTAGGTGAATAGATCCTTCTTTGTTTCTTGTTTTCAACCACAAATTTGAGCAGATGGATTCAATTTACATAAGACTCTTTGCCCTGTGACATCTGGGCTAATATTTGTGGTTCCTCTTGGAGAAACCGTGTTTTTACTTATATGTGTTTGGGTTACATCCATTTCACTAAATTGATTCTGTTTTACTGCACATCTTTGAAAATTGTTAATAATATTGGGGATTAGAAAAACTTGGTTCAGCCTTCATCCCTGTAGATCACATGGGGGGGGGTGTTTTTATATTATTGAAATCATACGACCTTTGCGCCAATGCATTTCTTGGCCCAATATGAAACCATCCTAAATAATTCAAGTTTGGATTATTTGAAGGACGTCTGTACTTGTATAAAGCTGTCCCTATTTTATGGAGGTCTTTGAAGATATTACCTACTTAGGATCTTTTTAATGGGGACCCTTCTCTCTCTTATAGGTTCCTCTTAAGAAAATCTGCTTGACCTTTGCTTGTTTTAAAATGAACTCTGTCTTTTAATGGCTTTTTAATGGCATTTGCTCCTGATGGATACTTTGAATCGGTATGCAATTGTCAGCGGGTTGCGTGCTTGTTTCTTTAAAGAGAATTCATGAGTGCACTTGATGTTGAACTGTATTATTTTTCTAAATCTATATCTATATCTATCTATTCCGTCCATGATTAGGATCTTGCTTTGAATCTGATTTGTAGAATTAATACTCAATTTCTATTGGACTTTTCATGTTACAATCAATGTATAGGGTTCTATGTCTCTCTGTGTGTGTTTCTTTCTTTCTTTCTTTCTTTCTTTCTTTCTNGGTGGAACTCCCAGCATGGCAGTGGGAGATTGGACCATGTGATGGACTTGTGGGTGTGGGGGCAAGATCATGAACTCTCAACTGGGTGGGGAAAATGAAGGAATCTCAGATTTGGGTTTTCCCAGATGTGCCAACATGACTCTCTTAATAAATTGGAACTTTGAACAATGCTTTGCCTTAGACTCTGATTTAATTTTGGATGTTATTTGGAACCCCAACATTTTTGGGTGTATGGAATGCAATGCTATAGTTTCTTGTTGCTACATTAAGATGTCTTCTATAAGTCCCAAAAGTTCTGGTCCTTCTTAGCGTTTCTCTGATTTGTTGGTATATTTTATCCACCAAAGGAGATACCAAGACAGAGGTTGATGAGACCATGATTCTGAGTATTTTGATCTTAAGTGTACTTGTGCTGTGACAAACAGCTTGCAGTAATAATTGCATGGTATGCTTCTCATACTAGCTAAATGTTTGAATCCATGGTTGATTGATGCCATGGTTGATTCAAGTTTCCAACGCAGAGACCAGATTGCTACAGAAGCATTCGCGATACACAAAAACAGATTTAGGGAGAGTGGGATTAGGAAGCTAGGACTAACTGATTCTTCTGTTGTAAAAGGGGAGCAGGAAAAATGGCATTTAGCATTTGTTGACATACCAATTAGTAGGAAGGAAGTGTAAGTGGATCAGAGACACATCTATTGGATTAGTCAGTACTACGCTTGCGAAACTAAGTCTGCATAAATTTGCAGCCTATAATCCTATAAAAATTATGGAGAGTTAGTTCTCACACAAGCAAAAATAAATAACATAATGTCATGTCAGGTCTTTACCCCAAAACAAAGACAGATGGAAATTATATCAAGACCAAGAGAGAATTGCTTTATCCTTATGTATACTAAATGGGAGAAAAAGGCATTCAAGAATGAACAGCAATTATTATAAATATGGCTAGGATTCTCGTATGGTAAAGGTTCCCCTGCACATGCGTGTTAGTCGTTTCTGGCTCTAGGGGGTGGTGCTCATCTCTGTTTCAAAGCCGAAGAGCCAGCGCTATCTGAAGACATCTCCATGTTCATGTGGTTGGCATGATTCAATGCCAAAGACACATGTAGCGCTGTTACCTTCCCACCAAAGTAACAGGAGCTCACCCCATTTTGCGATACTAGGGACTTGAACTGCCGAACTGCTGACCTTTCTGATCGACAAGCTCAGTGTCCTAGCCACTGAGCCACCATGTCCCTAGGATTCTCGTACTCAGCAACTAATAGAATTATTTTGTCATGGTGTCCTTGTTGTTCTGCATTAGAAGGTCATGGAGATTTGTGTCTCTTTTTAAACCGTCCAACTTGCTCTGAAGAAGCTTCACAAGAGATGACTAGGAAAGTCAGTGTCAAAGCACATTTATTTTTAATGAAAACTTGCATCCCTTCAGAAACCATCACACATTTGAGAAAAGTGTCATTGTCATCCTTGATATACCTATTTTCCAACAAAAAAGTAGCTCAAATAATCTTATTTCTTGTTAATAGACACTTATCACTTTATTTCAAGTGATTGCATCTACAGTTGCAAGTCCTTGCATAAATGCCAACCCTTTTATTGGAAGGCATTCTGAAGTAGCCCAACGGATATATTAAAAAACAAACAAACATGTATCCTCTTAAAATATAATAAAGCCTATTTTATGATTGTTTTCATAAGTTGTTACCCCCGTTCTGCTCTTTTCCCTTATCTTCTACAGTTTACATCAGGGGTGTCAAACTCGATTTCATTTGAGGGCCGCATCAGGGTTGTGTTTGACCTGGGGGGCAGGGGGCATGGTTGAGGGGGGGAGTGTCTGGTTAGCTCGATGTCGCTCATGTCAGCCCCTGTGGCAGCTGGAGCACTCTGCCAGTGAAAACGGGCTCCTGAGCTCCGTTTTCAGCTGCGATGAGCTCCCGCAATACTGTCAGCAAAAATGGAGCTCGAGCTCCGTTTTCACTGGCAGAGGAACTGCGGGCCAGTCCTTTGCTGTTTCCAGGGTGGCCCTACAGGCCAGATCTAAGCACCCCATGGGCCGGATCTGGCCCCTGGCACTTCAGTTTGACACCCCTGCTTTACATATAATCTGATAAAGCAATAAAACAGGTCATACTATGATCACTTTCATTTGATGTTTAATGTTTGATGTTTAATAAATTTATAGGCCACCCAATCCCGAAGGACTCTGGGCGGCTTACAACAATACATTTAAAAAATAGAAGTTAAAAGCACAAAAACATTTATATCGGAAGGGTAAGAAACAAAAGGAAGCTATTTAAGGAGAGAAGCAACCTAGAATTAAGGAGAAAATCCCTAACAGTGGGAACAATTAACCAGTGGAATAGCTTGTCTTCGGAATTTGTGGCTGCTCCTTCCCTGGAGACTTTTAAGAAGGGATTAGACAG